TGACGAGCCCGCGACGGTGCTGTGCGTACGGGCGGGGGGGGGGGGGGGGGGGAGGGGTGTACTGCATAGCGCAACACGTCACAATATTTTGAATAAAAATGTATGGTTCTTGTTATCTTATAATCACCAGAACTCCTCCAGTTCAAATTTGTTACTTGCTGGAACCTTTTATTCGCATTCATATTTTAAGCCTCTTTCACAATCTCTTCCTTCTCTTACAGTCCTTGCCATATGTAGATACCCATTTTCATTATTGTGCTCCACTCCTGTCTTAATTCCATTTTCTAATTTTTTTTTCCAAACAGGCAGGATCTTGCTTTCTTTTTTTGAGCTGCACTGGTTCTTGTCTATAAAGAAACACATTAAGATTGTATTGATTAAGGAGGGGGATATACCTCTTCCTTGTATTAAATATACTACATATTACTGGAAAAGTGTGCCACAATTGGCTAACTTCAATATCTGCAACAGCAACTTCCTCAGCTTCATCACACATGCCACCTAAGGGATCATATTTCTTCAGCCAGAGATTTACAGTGGGGAAATCTTTCAACTTCTATTGCTGAGGACTCATGTTTATCACAGAACTGCTCACTGTTATCAGGCGATGGGTTTCATGCGGGATCCTCTTCTACTTCTTATTCTTCTTCTTCTCCTCCTCCTCCTCCTCTTTCAAGTTATGCTATTAGCCTGTTGTTTCCAGAATGTCACTTCATCTAGCTGTAGGAGGGTTGTCTCTTACAGTTCTTATAATTCTCTCTGGTGCCATTCTCGAAATGTCCTTATTCCATTCATCTCTCTTCCCAATTATCCATTCTCCAATCTCTTCAAAACTGCAAAAGGAAAGAACACACATGAAATAAGAGAAGGGGGAGGGGAAATTAAAATCTTATAACTTTTAAATATATACAGAACACAACACACATCATGACCTAACAAATGTTAAGACAGAACACAAGGGTGCTGCATTAGCGTAGTTGTATGTCCCAACCAATTAACATGAGGTCCATCCCACACACAAGTGTGACATTTCAAGCCATGATTTTTAATCTTAAAGAAATAAAGGGAATTAATGTAATTAATAAAAGGCAATGTACTTACCAGCCAAAATCTTCAATTTTCTGGTGATCATTCAGGCTTTCTTTCACTGACATCCATATTTGTTTCCCATGTCACTTCTTTGCATTCTCTGATTGGCTCTTGGAGATGGAATAATGAGGAGATAATTTCAAGGCTAAATTCAGGACAATGGAACACAAGGAATTCTTTTTTTGCTATTGAGATTTTACCAAGTTTAATCATGGATAGACAACCCTTATGTCCTAAGTAACTAAATGCATTTGTAAGCTGAAAAATGATGAGAACTGGAAATAGAAGTTCCCTAACCATGTGAAAAATTTCACCTCTCCAGTGCACCAGCACTTCACTAGTGTTATATAATGTAACCGTTCATTCTGACTGGAGGACTGTTGTGTGTAAATTAAATTTGTATTAAGTTAAGATTACAAAATTACAAACAAAGAGATCCGGCAGATAGCCAGCTCTTCAAGTTTTGCTATGTGGACAGGAAGTAACATCTGGTAATTTCCTAGAATTCTGGCAGTTCCAGCAAAGTCGGAAAGGCTTTGAGAAAATGAGAGCTGACAGCTTGGGACAGCGATAACTTAGAAGTGGGACGGCCGGAGCCTCACACCCTGATCGTAATGCATCAAGGGGCTGTCAACCTTAGCGTCAGGTCAGCATCTGCCAGAATCACATAGCAGAGCAACATGATTGGGAATTCAAAATTTAGGGAACATCCTAGTTTGAAAACTTAACCAATGGCAGAAGTGGAGGAGTGGATTTCTCTTGGAGTCTGGGGTTCGTGGACCTCAGAATTCAGAGAGAGGGATTCCACCTCGAGGAGTCTTGACACAACTTTCGGCAAAGTCGGACACAAAATTTACAACTACGGCCCTTCCGTAAAGTAGTATAAGTAAAGTCCAAATTAAATGTATTAATAAATTCAGTTGTATTCAGAAAGCTGGAAGGGATTAAAGGACTACTAAGTGCAACGGTCTAAAGAGGTGTGTAATTGTAGTGAAGGGTTCTTCCTGCCCTGTCCGAGCCAGACCCGTATAAGACCCGGGATAGGAACTCAGCTCTACAAATTACCGAACAGAACCCAAAGAAGTGAGCGGTGAGAATAACACAGCATGTAATATTCTACTTTGCATCCACAGTTTTCTTATCAGAGAGATATTAAAGTAGACCTGTTAATCCCTGATCATGTTTATGTGATTTCACACTGCAATCTCAATACAAATTACACTACTTCTGATATAATCCAGTTCAAGAAAAAAAAAGTGTTTTAGACTGATATATCATAACGTTGCTGCATTATGGAAAAACAACCCGCAGCCTTTTTTGTAACTGCTCTGGCATATGCTGTAATGCATTCAGAGGGTGTACCAAAATGGTGACCAAATTTTGAGGTCCATACTATATTACAACACCAATACCTGCTATTTCTTCTAATAGTGGCAGTGATGGGATCAATATCACAAAATAACTGTATAACTTTATGTATTCATTACAGCTCTTGATGCGAAAAACAGGTGGCGATGCTTACGTGACAAGTTTGTAAGAGAAAAGAAACGTTTAGTACTGGATGGTGAAGCCTCATACAGATCCAGAGATCCATGGCCTCTGTTAGATGATATGTCCTTCTTGTGGGATTTCATAAATCACAGAAAGTATGTGAATGCATATCTAATAAATGTACATGGGTTGAGTTAGTTTCTTGAATTGTTTTGAAAGTGTTCACCATGTTGGGCCAAGAAGCAAACTGTCAAGTGATTCAGTCATGTTGAACATTACACTGTTACTGTGGTAATTCCAGCTGTTATGAATTAAGATCATCTACATTAGAAATAACTATACATCCTAATATTGTTCATGTCTCTTGTATTAACTACTGAGTTTATTTAGTGTTAAGTGAGATGTGTGAAAGCTCAAGCTAGAGGAATCCGTAGAAAGCATAGTATGTTTTAAATTGTTATTCCAGCATCAAATGGAGGGACTGTGAAATACCACGTTTCAGTCAGAATTGGTTTTCTTTTTTTTTTTATTGCTAGTGGGGTGGGACTAAGTCCCTTGTACCGCAGCCACTTCTGGCCTACTTTCAGTCAGAATAGTCAGTAATCAGCCAAGATTCAAACCAGGCACCTCAAACATATGAGGCCTGTTCAACAAAAACTGTTTTTAGAATTATTCTGGGCGGAGTCGAGACCATTAAAAATAGCCCCCATAGATGTTGAGGACACACACCACTGATGCATCAGCTGATGAATTCCCTCTATGAAGAATTTCTTGGGTTGCTATTGAATCAACTGTACTGCCACAACCTTGACATCTTTATCTGATGTGAATCTATGGTCCTTTATCACCTTCTTGGGGGGGGGGGAGCACATGGCAGTTACAGATGACAGGTCCAAGCTGATGGGTGATGGTCCAGCATGTGGAACATAGCTTGTCCAGGACACTACAGACCACATGGGGAAGGCACAGTCATGCAACATGAGGTCATCCCTCATAAGCTGACACACTGGGAAGTTTTCTCCTCATGGCAATACAAAGGTCTTGGAGGGTTCTACATTAACACTGTGCATTGATGGTGATGTCAGGATCCTTGAAGGCAAGCATCAACAGTTCACTGGACAGATTTTGCATCTTGAACACTGACATTTAACCATGTCATACTGTTCCCACTAGTTCTAATGCACACATTCTGTTGCATAGCTTGTAGTCAACTGGTGTGTCATGCACGCAGCCATGTGCCCACTTGTATTCGCTAACTGCCGGAATGGGTTTCATTTAAACACACCTCTTGTATAAGTCAGTATTACCACTGTGCCAGCCTGCTTGGCCAACCTTACAGTAAGTAAGTAAGTAAAGTAAAGCTATTCCTGCAAGAGGCCGTGAAGGCTCATAGGGTTGTGAGACGTTGAGGGTCCCACATTATCCAGACAATCAGCTCAAAGATGGCAGTAAGGTTGTCAGCCTTATGTGCTGGCTGCCCTTTACCACCAAGAATATTCCTGGTACTCATTTCTGTTAGAGGCTGATTCGACCCCAGGGCCATAGTGCTGCTGGAAGGATTAGGTCAATTTAAAAAAAATCCAATGACCTCATCGGGACTTGAACCCGCGCCTTACCGGCTTGTAGCATAGCTCCTCAACCAACTATGCTACCGCATGCCCCGGCCAACCTTACAGTAGTTACATAAATCCATATTTCTAGACAGTCCATGTTTTATGTAACAGAGTTGCAGTTTGAGTGGTGTGAGTATTTCAGGAGGAACAATCAGAAACTGAGATAAGGTAAATGAGGTCAGTTACAAGACACAATTCATTCCATACTTCATTAGAATACATACTGTGTTAATATGCTGTTTAGATCTGATGACTTGTCACACTTTCTGATTCATCAGAATGTTTCAGACCTTATCAAACTTCTGTGAAGTAATGATCTGGAGTCTAAAATAGCAGTTAATCTGCCAGTGACATTGTACCAGAGAAGTATCCTCTCTTATTTATGTTGATTCTACAGTGGGAAAGCTGCTACAGTGCTACCAACGAGCTCAGAGCATGCCACAAAATGCTAAGCCACCCAGGTGGAAGAGCCCAACACTTCCCACACAACTTTGCCACTGAGGCTCAAACTTCAAGCAGATGTACAGAAGAATAACCAGATCACAGCAGAGGCCACAACTGCTTCCTGTTAATTATGTATGCATTTCTGGCACTTTTTCCAAAATATCACATTTACATGTTGAAGTTCCTTTTCAGAAGTAGTGCATACTTGAAACCCCCTCTCTCCTGTACAAAGGAGCTTCAGGAATTTCAGGAGAATGTTCAAGCCTAGCACTGAGTTCATCCAACTTTTCAGTGAACACTTGGCATTTTGATTCTGTTCACCTTCTTATCTAGTAACATGTGTCTTTATTTATTTACAGTTGTATGAATAATTGTTCTATGTGGAACAGTAACATCTGAAAATCTGCTTAATTTTCTTACAGCACATATACTTTCTTGAATTATTTATTGGGGCAAAATGAAGAAAAACTAGGTAATGCATATACACTCATGCATTTTCAAGTTCTGCCTGAGTCCAAATTTTCACATACTAACTGGACAGGAGGAAAGTTCATCTCATCTCATCCACCTGAGTGGCCTAGTGATTTCCACAAGATAGGAGATTATTGCACTATATATCTTTAAAGAAGAATTCAGATAGCATTAAGCAAAATGTGTCATATCAGAAAATACTGAATAAAGGGGATGAATCCCTGGCTGAAAACAAAACATTAGGAAACAAGATAAGCATTTGAAATGTGTATGTGTGTGTGTATATATTGGTATTATGAGATAAAAGCAATCTCTACATTCATTCATTCATCTGTAATCTGTCAAGATGACAGGTCCACAGTCTCTTCCAAAACAGTTCCTCCACTTAATGCGATCTAGAACTTTCTCCTTCGAATGAGAATATCCTCTTCTGTCCCCAAGGTCATCCAGCATCTTCTTACGTCTTCTTCCTCATCTTCTGGTCACTTCTATCTGCCCCTCTATCTTTCCTTCAATAACTTCTTTTAGAAGGCAGTTACCGCGTTAAGATATGACCAATCCAATTAGCCTTCCGTTTTCTTATTTCGTGTAGGATATTCCTCTGCTCACTGACTCTAAATAACACTTCTTCATTTCTCATATAATCGGTCCAACTGATCTTCTCCATCCTTCTCCAACACCACATTTCGAAGCTTTCCAGATGTTTCTGATCTCCTGCCCTAAGTGTCCAAGTTTCAGCCCCATACAAAGCAATGCTCCAAATGTAGCATTTCACTAGTTTCTTTCTCAAATTTAAGTCCAATTTGCTGGTAAAAAGATTCTTCTTCTTGCTAAATGCAGCTTTTGCCATGGCAAGCCTAGATTTAATATATATAAAACATAAATGTAATGGTGATAAGACCTNAAGATTTCACGGCGGTGACTATGAAGAAAGCAGTCTTCTGGGATTTGGCACCGTGTATATGTGGTGTTAACTGACGTTTCGGAGGAACGTATCGCCTCCATCTTCAGGGTAGAAGAAAAAATATAAGAAATCTGAAGATGGAGGCGATACGTTCCTCCGAAACGTCAGTTAACACCACATATACACGGTGCCAAATCCCAGAAGACTGCTTTCTTCATAGTCACCGCCGTGAAATCTTATACAGACCTTGAGTAGATGGGCATGCTGGAATTTGCTGTAAAGCCACATATTGAACCATCTGACAGTCTTTCTTGAAAGTGCTATATGATATCACAATAACAGATGGCACTGCCACCACTGATTATTTGGGTTGTTATGAGCAATTTGAGAAAGAAACTAGTGAAATGCTAGGAAGCTTCATACTGGCTACATGCTTGTCCCTAAGATGAAGAGAGTATATTCCTTCAAAATGTCAGTGAATATCTACCTCCATCTTCAGGATCAAAAATCAAGCAAGTAGTATGCAAGAATTACATGGGAAGAAAAGTCCTGAACTTCTTGTTGGCTACATGCTTGGCTTATTCTTCAGCCCTGAAGATGGAAGTATGTTTCTCTAAAATGTCAGTGAACATCTACCATTCTACACAGCAGTACATTCCAGATCACTAATATTATCAACTTAAGTCTTTCCATCAGAAGTCCAGCTGTATATGTGAATGTTACAGTATGGGAACCTTGTACTCTAATAATTAGGTTTTTCAGTGGGGCAGACTTTACTTCTATAATCTGTTTATCACACTCTCCTTCTTGTTTGTTTGAAAATATCTTCTCTCCCTACTTTTGCACTGAAATCTCTAAACAAAATTTGTATGTTAGTTATGAAATAGATCACATACATGCTCTATTTCCTCACAAGAGCTGTCATTTAAGATGTTTCTTTCTTTGTTAGTTATCACAAGTAGTTAAAACTTCGAAGAAATAGCACTCAAATTAAGAAAAGTTTAAGTTTACTAAAAAGGGGGGGGGGGGGGCTGGGAATGATGATACAAACTGTATTCTGAAACTGTACTGCAGTACTGGAGTGTTGCCTTAACAGCCATGGCTACTGTACATGCTAACAAGGTTATGCAATCAGTTTCATAATCTTGTGTTCTCTATCAGGTCTGTGGTGGGAAACAGGAAATTGACAAAACAGTTACATTTATATACTCGTATATATTAGACACCCCATTACTAACTTCATCTTCTTAACTGCTAATGCGACTACCTTAGGTATGAAAAAGTTGATCTGTAAGCAAAGGTCAACTAACACTGCCCTTTCTGTAGAAAGCAGTAAAAATCGTGTGTTTAGTGCATCCACTTATTATCTGACTCGTATTCCCACTAAATCTAACTCATACTGCGCTATTTCCCCCTTTACTGCTTTCAATTAATCTGATCTATAGACTCCTGATACTTCCAGATACAAATATCATGTCTATTTACTGCTGCATGGGTCTTTCCAAAGAATTCATCAAAGACCAAGTTCCTATATAATATTTCATATCATGCTGCTTTTCATGGTGAGGAGTTGTAAGCCAACCTGCCCAACCTCACCCCCCCCAGCTGGAGGAACACCCCTATGTTCAGTGCTCCCAATGAATGCTCACGTAATGTGGTCACAGTTCTTCTCCTGCGTCCTAAGGATGGGCCATTCCATAGTGACAAAAGGATAAACTTAACTGTTGAGTCTCTAACCATACAATAGTCAAATTTATAAACAAGATAAGAATTTAACATTTCAAAAAGGGCCAGACCCAAACATCACACTGTCCATAAATCATTTTCCTTATACATATAATTATTATTATTTAGCACTGTAATGATTTTAGCTTTTTGATAATTTGCCCCAAGTTAGAACAAAACTACCAACATAAAGTAGGGGTTGGGTGGTCATAGTAATAGTAGTAGTAGTAGTAGTAGTAGTAGTAGACTCCTGAGCTGGAACAAATGTACCAGTGCTAAGCATGTTATAAATTCAGTATGTTCATATGCTAAGTCCATACCTAAATGTTCTGATTGGAAATTTGACAATTTTATTATGACAAGAAATGTGTGTACATACATGTGCACACACACTTATTCCTTACTCTAAATTGCAGAGATGTGTACACCAGAAAGATGAGTGCAAAAGTCAGGGCTGAATATATTCAACAAACTATGCAGCCAATCGTACCACATCCATCTCCAGAACGGGTAAATGTGGCAATTGAAACGCCTGAAGCATCCCCTTCCCATGCACTTCATCCAACAACCAACAGTGAAACACCTAAATATTTTGCAAGTGGGATGGATATTGAAACCACAAGAATTAAACAAGACCCAGATGATGGAAATGGTGGTTATAGTGATGATGGCCCTCCCACCTCTCGATTGAAAAGTTTATTAGATCAGACCACGCAACAGGTAAGAATATCATATTTTATATTAGTATATATTCAATGACAAGTAACAAATTACTGCCTTAAACAAATTGCTGCCGACAAAAAAAAAGTGCAGAAATGTGAATTTCTCCATTGCTGCTTAACATATCACAGAAGTCTTAACAGATGGAACACAAAGCAACATTAGGTACACACAACTAAGAGAGGACTACACCCAACTGGACATAAAAATAGCCACAATATATATATATATATATATATATATATATATAGGTAAAAAATCATCCTATAAAACCATCCAACATCAGAATTAAAAAAATTATTAACAGCAATGTGCCTTAATGAATACTATTTGACCAAGTGCACAGTGTAGTAGACTCCTTTAAAAAATGTGTTCTCTGAAGATGGCTCTATGCAGCTGAAACATGTAGCATGAACATTGAATGTACATACATTTTAATAATTTTAACGACATTTTAAACATCTAACAAACATTTAGCGAATTAAGTGTGAATTAATGTTAAATTAATATTGTTGCATTATAGACAGAAAGCAAGACAAAATACCTCAATGCAAGAGGATGCTGAAATATAATGTTATGAAAATCTATAATAAAGCATGCACAACAGAGAAACCAATCATGTGAAATTTTTAAACTCCATGGAAGTACAGCCACCAGCTCCACAACCAAGAAATCCAAGTGGGACTATAACTGAAATTTCCCACATCTCCATAAACATATTTAAGGATTACTAAGATTTTTAAAAATGACTTCAGATGGCATCCTGATTGTAGATTTAACCCAGAGCTCTCCTCAAGAATCAGAAATTATTCAGAATAATACCAAGTTTTCAGTATGAGCATCACAAATATGTGGAATAGGAATAAGCTCATACTGCAGTTTCACTAGGTTCTTTTCTGTATTAGCATTCATACTTCTTGGGCAACAGAACTGTTCAGTAGCATCACTTAGATGTTGTCCACAATTCACCATCCCTTAAATCACTGTTTTCCTCCAGTATTTGTTTCTCACATTTCTGAATGAAATAATGATTATATTGTTTGCAAATAATCCTCCAGTATTTGTTTCTCACATTTCTGAATGAAATAATAATTATTTTGTTTGTAAATAAAATTATAATTTAAACCTCTGTTTTCCTCCAGTATTTGTTTCTCACATTTCTGAATGAAATAATGACTGTCTTCTATCCTGAAGATGGAGGCGATACGTTCCTCCGAAACATCGGTTAACACAATTCCTACACGGCGCCACATTCCAGAAGATGGCTTTCTTCATAGTCACCGCCGTGAAAACCTCAAATCTTACAACGATTATTTTGTTTATAAATAAAATTATAATTGTATCTTTAACTACACCTGGAAAAATAATAAAAACAAACAATATTTATTTTCAGCAGGATGAATCCAGCGAGGATACACAACATTGCAGCCTTCGTGCTGATCCTCCAGAACCTCAAAACCAGAGTCCAGATGAAGATGAATTATTTTGCCTCAGTGTGGCTGCATCATTAAGAAGGTTCAGTCCACAAAAGAAAGCTCTAGCAAAACTACGTATTCAACAAGTCATGTATGATGTAGAGTTTCTCAACCAAGTGCCTACAAATGCAACAACTGTCCAACAGTGTTACAGTAATGACACCACCTCTGTGCAAAATTTGTAGACTGATATTTTAATAACAAGTTTCCATTTACATTTATGCACTTTTCATTTTGCTATTTAAATACAATAGAGAAGTTCTCTATAGCGCTGAAGATAAAGGTAAAGGTGTCCCTGTGCTTACTAATTAAGCACTATGCCATGAAGACATGTCAGGGAGTTAATGTACAGATCCACATTTTTCATGACCTCAGCACTAGTTGGAGGTGAGTGGTGTCATGCCCCCGACCTCTATACCCCGGTGAAAGAGCCCCCAGTACCCACTGGATAGGAGGCTGAGTGGACCCCAGAGCCGTTCTCGATGATGTGGAGAAGAGAAAATTCTTGACCCCACCAGGACTCAAACTCTCACCTCTCAATCTTCCAGCCCGTAGCCAGTCACTGTACCGACTATGCTTTTCCAGCCCTCTCTTCATAGCACTGAACACATCTACTGTCCCATACTGAATTTTGAAACAAAACCTCGGCTAAGATGAAACAGACGTGTTACATAAATTTAGCTGGAGATCCCATTATACAGCCATGACTGTTCAGGAAAAGCTTGGTTCCATGGATAATTCTTGTCTGTGTCAGATATCACTATGAAGACAAATTTAAACATAAGAAGTAGCTTTCTACTAAAAATCTGAATTTGAAACCCATCCTTGCCTCATCCTTCATGCTAGCAGTTACATCCTACTAATGCAAAAATGTTATCATCTTGTCCAAAGATAAGGATAAGGCGAACAATAAGAATCATAACAATCAGCATAGGCAAAAATTTAAGAGCAATCAGTCTTCTAAATCAGTTCATAATACTGATGAAAATAAAGAAGGATCTGATCATAGGTGTAATGAAAATAAATGGAAAGAAGCTATTAAACAGGAGCTAGAAGCTTTCCAAACAAATGAAGCATGGTAAATAGTGGATAGACCATCAAATAAGCCAGTAGTGAAATCAAAATGGGTCTTCAAAATTAAACGACATGCTGAAGGAAACGAAGTTCCATTAGAGCCAGACGGTTTAGAACAATTACAAGGAAACTTGGAAGAAAGAAGATATCCACTTCGAAACAGGAAACAGAAAGAATTTCCAGATTTTGTTACCTACTCAGTCATGCATAAAGATGAGGAGTCAGAACCAGTCACATATGAAGAGGCACTGCCAAGCTCCGATAAATCTAAATGGGCCAAAGCAGCTCAAACAGCCGTATATCTTTTAAACATATCACCTCACAAGAAACTAAAGAATCAATTGCCTGAAGAAATAGGGACAGGAGAAAAGATTGATCTCTCCTATATAAAAATTTTCGGATGTCCAGCGTATGCTCGTTTACCATCACAGAAACGCCAAAAACTGGATGCTGTGAGCAAGAAATACATTTTTATGGGATATAGTGAGGAAAGTAAAGCTTATCGGTTATCAAATCCCCGCAATCCGTCTCAAATAATTGTGGCAAGAGATGTAGAATTTCTGGAAGAAGAAATAACAAACAAGAAAGAAAGTGAGATTTCAGCTTAAAGACATTCTTCCAATGTCGTTAAATTTCTACCTCGACTCACAAGATGAAGCAATGATTCCGCAAGAACAAAACCCTGAAAAACAACAACAACAATTTTGAAGATGAGTAACCCTCTGCACTGGAGCTCTTGTTTAAAATGTAAGGTATGAGAGTTGTTAATGCTTTCTGATGAAAAATTTCTTAGTCCAGAAATGAACTGGAGAAAGTATCCACTTATCCTGTACACCATTTAAATAACAGGAATCACAGAATACAATAATTTTAATCTGCTTTTGTGTCAGGATTAGACACATTTTAGGGCAAAAGAATTCAGAGAAGAAAAAAATATTGAAAATACTAGTTTATGCCAGTACTTCTGCAACCATGTACTGTTGGATGTTCTCTGGACAAAGTCCTACAATATGACAGGTAACCTGTAACGTAGTTTACTATGAAAAAGAACGAGAACTGATGAAAAGAAACTCCAAGGTTCACATATCCCTTTAAATTCTTCCATCTATGTACAGATGCAGTATAATCCTCAAAGTACCAAAACTGATGGGAAGTGCACACTTTAGCCAAAAATTAATGAACAAGGATACTGGTGTAACCAGAACACTGAAATTTGTCATTCTGCCAAACAGCTGCATGTACTCCATTAATGAAATATTATCCCACTGTATGATGCGAGACCAATGGTGATATGGCAGTGACATTAAAGACAGTGATGATAGTCTAAAATTAGATGGGAATATAAGTGGACATAACATGTTAAATCCTCATATGGAAGAATTACTGAACCCAAGATATAGAGAATAATACATTCTTGGCCTCATTAGGTTTTAAGGTGTGGTACTAGATTCCTGTTTTCAGGGAACCACCTAGAGTTTTGGACTCAACTTTGCGACTATACCAGCTGGAGAAGTGTACGAGAAATGATAGGGAGTATGTGCATGTTGTCACTCTCCACCTGGCTTGCATTCTTTACCAAGTTAGTATACAGCTGTGTCACACAGCAGTAGGACATTTCTTTATTTGGATCTATTAGTTTACCAGACACTATCTTTATACATTAATTATGATATAATAAATTGAACATTTTAAACCAGCTGTGAATAAATAACATCACAATCTCAACCATGCACCAAAGAAGGTCAGAAAATAGAGCAGATAGGTGAAAGAGGCTATAAATACAATAAAACCTGCTTATAACTGAATGCCAAGGAACCTGAATACTTCCATGTTTAAACAGGTGTGTGCATAATGCAGACACTTCTTGATAAAAATGCTGCATGCTACATATTCCACAAATTTAAGGTCCAAATCACAAGCCAGACATTCAAGCGGTATATGTACAGTAAAATTATTGAGCAGCACACAAGTCTTCTCTTCAGTTTTTTTCTATTTGTTGATGGTCTGTCTTGTAAAGCTTTGCAATCTGCGAGAGGAATGTTCCTTCTCAGATAAATCCCAGTAATCATAGTGCAGAACAAAAACAGTACATATTGAAGAAAATTATTTTGTGCCAATTTATAGCTGTCCTTTTCAATTACATGACACAGTCTCCATTTGCTGGCTTTCACGATGTGTTCAGTTCAAGAGATCTTTATTTCGTATTAAGGCAGTTTTCTATTTAATTCAGGTTTTACTGTTAATACCAAGTCAGTAACAAGGAGCACAGAGATAAGGGAAGATTTCTTACAGCCATCACAACATTTGAAGCATCAAGCCCACATCAGAAAAGAAGTCTGTACTCACTCTCACCAAATTTGTATCCAAACAGTTAAAATACCTGAAAATACAGAACACATTAGCATGCCAAAAGTTTTCTTTCTAATTCCTGGTCTAAAATCCTAGAATGGAGCTTGTGTGACACAGCTTATTTTTGTAATGAAAAAAATTAGTGAAATATTCTGATGATAAGTAAACCTAAGTACATGTACTATGCAGAGTGCACATGGCTCAACAGGGCAACTGGCAACAGCAGAATACTTCTGAATCTCCTCTCCTGAAGGAAGACTCACTAATTTTATTTAGTCAGCAAATTCTTTTTCTGGTTTCTGTGATGTCATGACTGAAGTCTTAGTGAACTGAAATCTGACAAGGCAAAGCGATTTGACATTTCATGTCAAATACAGTATTACAGTTCCATTTATACTTTCATTAAGAATTAAAAAACTAAAATCAATGAAATACATGTCTCCTATCATATTTTTTTCAAAAGCAAAGTACCATGTAAGATCTTGGTTTAAGAATTGAACAAAGTATCTTTCAACAATAATTTATTTTTTCAAATATAAAGTAACATAGAAATTCATTCCTATAACTTAAGATCAAACCAAAGCTTGCTTGGGGGAGGGATTCCAATTTCACCATGTGTTGGCAGCCTTAAGATTAAGGAGTGGCTGACTAAGCAGCACTTTGAATACTGTGCCACCCCACTGGGCATAAGACAATGCTCTTCACTGAAGGACCTTCAGAAAAACTGTCTTAGAGACCTTCTGGCCTTGGATAGGAAACAGCGCAGACTGTTGACAGGGTTGTTAACTGGCCACTGTGCACTGAGACAGCATCTATATGTTACAGGCCTCTTGGATAACACTACATGAAGGTAACATTGGCAGCAGCAGGGATCCTCCTGCTGTCAATGCTCTGACTAGGAGTAGAATGAAGATACTTGGTTCTGCATATTTGCAGCTGACATCTATTAGTATGGTCTGTCAGCCAGGTTCTTGCTCTAGCATTGAGGACAAGATACTTTTAAAGGGCACTAATGAAAACATGGGAACACAATGAATGCTGTAGTGAATGGTCTGAGTGACTGAGTGACTGAGAGAGTCCCCCCCCCACCCATTCTAATATACTCAAGCTTGCTGGGATCTGGGATTACGTTTTTTGTGAACTTCCCAAGATTTCTGTAAGCATATACAGGAGGTGAGTGAAATAATGGAAACAGTAAGAAAATGAGGCACAGAACTTGTGTTGGCTACACTTAAAGAACTTCAGTTAGCAATACTGAATGCTCTTCTTCCATTTGTTTACACTCTGTAGTGCTCTTTGTAAGAACATTAGTGATTTGTGTTGAGTGACAGTTCATCTGAAAGAACTGGAAAATGGAAGACTTGTGTATGTCTAATTTTGAAAGAGGCCAGATCATTGGTGTACATTTAGTTGGAGCATCTGTGACAAATACTGCCATATTATTAGACATATCAAGGGTGACAGTTTCAAAGGATATGTCAGTATACATGAATCGTGGGAAGACAACACAGCAAAGAGGCACAGTGGGCGAAAATCAATGACAGAAGGATATCGTTGTACACTGCGAAGGACTGTTTCAAAAAATCACAGAACTACTGCTGAACAGGTGACAGTATAACTGAATATTGATCTTGAAAACTCTGTTTCCAGAAAACACGTATCACGTAAGCTTCACAAATCCAACATCCATGGTAGAGCTGCAAACTGGTAAATCCCTGATTACTGAAATTAATGCGGATGCGTAAATGATGGTATCACAACCATAAAACCTGGACATCATGAAGAGTTCACGTTTGGAGAACACCAAAGGAAGCTTACAATCTGGAATGCCTGGTTCAAAAAATGAAACATGGGGAGGTTCTGTGATGGTTTGGACAACAATTTTGTGGTACAGTATTCTATTGGTCCCATTATTGCCTTTCATGGCTGAATTACTACAAGGGAATACACAGACAGGTTAGGTAATCAGGTGCATCACATGATCAGACATTAATTGTCCCCCATTCACACAGCTGCAACTGTTCACTCATGATTTGAAGAATATGAAGGTGAACAACATTTTCCTTG